TTTTGTGAGCCATTCCACCCCTAATATATATTGTAAAACTAGTTACTCTTACAACGTTTTTCGATTCAAAAGTTTTTCAGAGTTCCACTTCGGAAATGCTTTTTTTTCTTCAAATTTTTCAATTTACAGACTTCTTTGTTGTTTTTCTGTTTCGTTTGTTTGTTTTTTATCTTTTGAATTTATTAAATTTACAAAATGCATTCCAGCTTCCAACAATAATGGAACACAATTAACTCCATATATACATAGCATATTAGCAAGCCGTAAAAAAACAGGCTATTGTGATAATAGGCCGAGCAGTTATGCTTAAATTCACAGAACAGCTATCATCATACTCACTTTTGTTTACTTACAATGCACCACTGAGTGAAGCTGATAACTACACAAAGGTAAAGAAAAGCCTTCAATCTACAACCGTAATCAATAATGACAACAGGCTGTTGACGCTGAGTCTGGTTCTGTTGGAGGTCACTTCCTCTTATAAGGTGGTTTTCCCCTCCAAAGTCTTTCCCTAAATGCTCGTTATTGGTGATTGTTGCAAAGTCAGCTACACTTTAATCTAAGAGTACACATTTTGCAAAGTCAATGACTAAATGCAATCAGCTATAGTTGAGGAACTTTTTGTTATATAAATCTGCAAAGCATACCATATTTGGAAGGAAAGAAAACTGCTGCATATCTACATGAGGTAACCCTGAACTATATTAGCCCTGATGTTAGCATCATGACAGTGCATTATATCTGCATTGATAAGATGACAAAAATGTGGCATATTGCTGATTCAAATAGAAAATAAGAATATGCGATGCAAAAAGCACAGTGATTTTAATCTGTTATTGCCTCATTGACAATGAAATAATATGTTAACTTCCCACTGTATATAACATGTGAGGGTATTCTCCTCCCCATTTGAAAAAAGTAATATGTTTTTTTGGACGAAAAAGAACAATAAGAACTAAATCTAAAATTTTATATAGTATGCTTGTGGGGGGGTTAGGCTCAGAGGAAAATACAGTTTTATACATCTAATTTATTACATCCTGGAGTCACATAGAGCAGGTAGTTTAATGTCCCTGTGGGATTCATTCAGTACGTTACATTAAAACATGGGGAGCAAAACATATCAATATATTGTATATTCGGGAATAAAGAGCAATTATATAATCTCTGCTTAAAGGTGGTGTGACTACGAGGCTTTGAAACAAAAAAAGAGGCGCGTCTTGTAATGAAAGCATCCTTTCACTGGTGGGCTGCAAGGAGGGGCTTTTGATGAAAGTGATAGTGGGGCAGGTGGAACAACAGCAACCTTTAACATCCTGTCCCTTTGGCACCAACCAGTCAAATCAACATGCACCGTCCAACTCTCAGCTATGCGCTGCTGCGCGGCTCCAGTAGCGCCACAGATCAGATGCAGACAGTAGAAAAGCATTTTCCATACATCTAAAAGGGCTATTTTTCTACCAATCTCCTGCCTCTTTATTTCATGACCATCCTGCATAGCAGGAAGCTGCTGCAGCTCAAGGACAAGCGAATCCTTGGATTTCTGGTAACACTGGCAGCTGTGAGCAGACTGAGGCCATGCAGAAAAAATAAAATCCCCCTAACATGGAGGTAAACTGGGCTGTGGGATCACATCAAATGAAATAAACACTCCTTTGCTGCAGTCACAGTGACATTCAGAAGAAATTATGCTGGGTGGCTCTATAGGTTCACAGGAGATTAGGCTTAACCGACATCTTGTGCCGTGGTAGCCCTCCTGCTTTCCGTACAGTTACTGAGTGTGTTCGTTTTCTTGGTGTGAGGAAAAGAAATAAAGCTCTTACCCGGGTCGCCATCTTAACGGTTGCGGTAGATTTGGGGATGCGGCTCGGCTCAGAGATTCATAGGACGGCGGGGACAGAGGGGTGAACAGATCGACGGCAGATCTTTTTATAAGCTGCTGCGCATCGCACTCTGATTGGTCGATAAAGCGGAAGCGTGCTAATGGAAACAGGAGGGAGGAGATGGCCTGAGCATCCGTTCAGTACTGCAGCACAGTGAACTGTGTCAGAGAGGAGCAGGGTGGGCCAAAAAAACAACAAACAAACAATAAAAAGCCTGATCGATTGGTTGACTCGTGGTTTCTTCGTGTG